AGTCATGTGGCAGGGAGTCGAATGCCTTCTTGTAATCAATCCAAGGTACATTCAAGTTGGTGCTCCTTCTCTTGCAGTTTTCCAAAATCATCTTGTCAATTAGGAGCTGATCTTTTGTCCCTCTGCTGTTTGGGTGATTTCCATTCTGCTCAGATGGAAAGAGCTTGTTTTCAACTAGGTGCCATTGGACTGCATCAGCTACCACACGAGTTAGCAATTTGAAAGTTGTTGGCAAGCAGGTAATTGGCCTGTAGTTGCCTGGTGCTGCCCCTTTGGCTGGATCTTTTATTAACAGGTAGGTTTTGCCAGATGTTAACCAATCTTCAATTTCCCCTCCTTGCAGTATGTTGTTAAAATGCTTGGCAATGAGTGGGTACAGAGCAATCAGATGTTTCAACTGAAAACCATGCAGTTCATCTTCACCTGGTACTGGCCAATTCTTGATTTTCCTTGCCCTTTTCTTCACCATTTCTGCTGTTATTACAAGTTCTTTCATTTCAGCTTCTTTTTTATTCTTATGCACCTCCTTTATCCAAGCTGCATTCTTGCGATGGAAGGCATGGGCAGGGAAGGTTCTGGAATGGAGCTTCAAGCTTGCCAGGAGCAGGGAGAAACATTCCAGGGGAAGCACCTCCTCAGTCCCCAGCCAAGAGGGGACTTGGGAAAGCCAAGAGAATGAGACTGGCACCTCCCTACGGGCCTCATGGTTATAGTAACTGTTGTTGGGGTGTAGATTTAGTCTGGTGAGATTCTGTCTATTAGGTGTAAGCTAATAAAGGAGCTTAACTGTTCTAGACTGTCTCGCTGTTGTTCTTGGGCTGAACCTGACAATTCTTGATGTATTTCTTTGAGTTGTCCCACAGCTGTGCCCAGAACTGCACTGTTCCTTCTTTGTCAGGTGTTGACTGGTTCATTGCAGTCTCTCCATTGATGGATTGGTAGAAATGTTTTTGATTTGACTGAAATTGGAGATTCTGCCTGTAGTGTGCAATTTGAGCTTCGTATCTGCTGATCTTTTTAGCTATGGCT